AAACTTTTTATGGGAGGAAAATACTGTAGAATAATAAATCCCCATTCTAACCAGATTTCCTCTAAATGTTACTTCTCTGTGTCAACTAATGTAAGTCGTTCCCTTTACGGCTTTACACCTATTTCTAGTCTCGACTCCTAGAACATATGGCCAGTTTATTTTATTTTTTATTATTTTTTATTTTTTTTTACTATTATTTTTTTTTGTCAGTCATTTCTTAGATGGGAAGAAAAATTTTACCCTTGTAATTTTATTACTACTGTTTGTTATATTGATTTCAGTTTCTAGGGGAGAAAGTTTAGGAATGGCTTTGGATCGAGGAAATAAATGGTTTAGCATTTCATAGAGATTGTGTTGAATTTTTGTACTTTTCTCTAACACAAACAATTCGCTCTGTATGTGGAAAATTACAATTTCAGTAGAATATCTACAATTTCTAGGATGAGTGATATGTAGTTTGACCGCAACTTAAGGGAAGCAATCCTAAGAATGGTTTTTGATTATCAAGTCATGGTTTTATCTTTGAGAAAATAGATGGTTAAAAAGAATTTGTTTTCAATACTTTTCATTTAGACCCATGGAAAAGTGACATTATTTTCTATGTAAAGCAGAAATGGAGGGGTTTTCTTGCTATCTACCGGTAGAGATTGTGGAACAAATTATGCTGTGGCTGCCTCCCAAGTCTTTGATGCGATTCAAGTGCGTGAGTAAGTCTTGGTGTTCCCTTATCAATGGTTGTATCAAAGATCCAGAATTTGTGGCAAAGCACCTTCACAACACCAACAAAGACATAACTTCTAGAACACGCCACATTGTTTATTTGTATGGATTTTCCTACTTTAAGAATATGTACTCATTGCTTAGTACGTACACTGAGTGTGATGATGGTGAAAAAGAAACCATAAAGTTTGACGCCGAGTTTTTGAATTTATCGAATTTTTTGAATGGTGAGAGGTTTGCCTTTCCTGAGTATTATCATTGTAATGGCATAATCTGCCTTGATGGTTCTAAGGGGGACATGCTGCTGTGCAATCCGGCATTGCGTGAGTATCTGCTTGTGACATCAGGTAGTGCAAGCTTAGGAATCGGATTTGATACTGATTTGAGCAAAGGAAAAGGATTTGGCTATGATTCGAGAACTAACGAATACAAGGTTGTTAGTATTTTAGATTTCATTGATGATATTGATGGACCAAAAAGACAAACTTGTCTGGCTGAGGTAACCACCCTTGGTTCTGGTATTTGGCGAACGATTGAGATGCCTATACATGGTTTTTCATCACGATCACTCTACAGTCATACATACTGCAGGGGAGTGTTTTATTGGATGACATCTTCTACCGAGGGT